GATTCTGACAGACAATTAACTCCAGATTTACTTGTTTTAAACTCTTGTTTTCATTCCCTACCACCTGAGAACGAAAGAAGCGCAATGCTTTCGTCCACTTTTGCTAGCTTTGAGGTCGTAGAGCACGACATGTATTTTCCGCGCAGGAGCCCCTGCTCTCAAAGATTGGAGTACCGACCTCAAGGCAACAGCAGTCGTTCGGGCAGTTCGGGCCTGGGGGATGCATCTTGCCAGCACGCTCATCAACAAACTGTATACTTGTGTGAAGGCTTTCTTTCGCCTTGTATGTTGCTGTCTACAGAAACCGCCCTTACGCATCATCATGTCAGCTGCACACGTGGCAGGTCAACGTTTCAACCAATGACTTGCTGCAGGGCATGCAGGCACCTTCTGGAGTTGGAGCCTGTGTTCCCCGTAGAGACGAGTGCTACTCATACTCTGGCACCTCAACATATCTCACCGCCTCCGGTCACCGAGTTGAACTTGCTTGACTTACATCCCGGCAGATTGCTTGGGCCGCGAAGATGCCCATGGTGCCGGCCAGGAGAGTTCCGAGGTTGCGAGAAATTGGCAGTTATTCTCCTCCGCTTTGGGGGCACGAGCATAGCTCTGGCATTGCAGCCGGATTACAACTAGGACCTGAGCAAACCTACTGCATTGCTCGCCAGGACGCTGGACGATCTTTCGGAGTGGCTTTGCCAGCGCCTGGTTGTTGAGGCCACGTGCATTGTATCGAAGACTAGCAAGTGAAACTAGCATGGGGATGCTGTTCTGCCACTAGTTGTCCTTTCCACAGGCGGTCCGCCTGCGCTTCTCTGCACGCCGGACACCTTGAAGAGTACTTCTGTGCGTCCTGGTGTGACTTGCAGTCCTGCAGTGCAGTATTTTGAGACTGGCACATTACTTCAATCAGACCTGGACTGCGTTGGCCTGCTGCAACTGAGTAGCTGGGCGAGCTGTGACCCGACCTCCAATCTCCGGTGAAGCTTAGCCCCGTGCAAGCCAATGCATAGAGTTCCTCGGGTATCCTACCTTGAGCACGATATCTGCGCATGTCAGACTTAGGTTGGCGATCTGGCGTGATCCCCTGCACTCTCCACTCTTACGACTCTTGCCTGCTCACATGAGTAAATCGTCCATGGCTGGAAAACACTTGACATTGCAGCTCCGGCGCTTCCAGGTGTTACTGAGTGCCGTTGTTGTAGGATTACCCAGTAGCGGTCATCAGCGAGCGAAGAGGTCATGACACAGTCGGATAGCTGCTGCCAATAATACATCCGTGTCTCAGGACACAGCACGAGAGGCTGTGTCCATCACTAGCCTGACCATCATGGCTGCTTGGGCTCAGTCCCGCTGTGGGGCTTCTGAGGTTTCCTTTCCGGATCCTGAGGTGTCTTCCGTTTGCATTTGATTTGGGGAAGTTCTCTGCATCCGGCAACGAAAAGCTGTATTCGCAACATAGTCACTGTTTTTGCTCCAGTCAAGTCGGAAAAAGCTTAAGTTGTTGGAACCCGAAGTCGGAAGCCGAAGTCAGGTTTGGGTGTGCCGAGGGGCATTTGGAGCTGATAAGCGTATCCCAAGCCACGAAGCCCCAAAATCTGCGCCCATATATATATATATATATCTACATATATATCTATATATATTATACACATGGATTTATATTTGTATGTATATTTTTTTTATATTTATTTATATGTATATACACATGCACATATTATATGCAACCAACAGCATTGAGCGAGATTCTGTGGTGTGCATGGCTCACGCTACGAAGTGCCATCCGAGACCGAGCCCAACCGTTGGAAAGATCGTTGTGAAGAGGCGCATCCGTTTCCAGCTGGGGCTTGGTGCCAAGAGCAGAACGGTCTCAGAGTGGATTCGAAGATCTCCGCGCGCAGACGGTGGGCTCATTTCGTCTATACGGTTTTTAAGCATCCCAACACGACCGTTTGCCGCACCGTTCACCGAACTGGCCGCGGGTCAGCAGGCTTGTAACAGCCACACGCCGAAGAGCTTGTTACGAGCTTGCGCAAAGTGCTCCATGTGCTGTTGACAGGTGCTGCAAGAAATCCTTGCCATCTCCTCCCATGGTCTGGCACAAGAGGAGCCCACTTCTCGGAAGATTGCAGATGGATGACTTTACTGGTTAAGACCTTTGACAACCATGTAAATATGTACCTTTCTGATGCTTCCCCTGCTATCTGGGGTCTTCGCCGGTCTAACGTAGCTTGGGGAATTGCAGGCACACTGCGAAGCACGGTGTCGTAGAAATCCGCCCGTGGATGAGGCTGGACCTTGCCAAGCGTATGACGTTGGACCGTGTCAAAGAGGTCGGGCGCTTTCAAGTTTGCGGACGTGCGGCAGACCCATCAAAAAGGATCCTATTTGGGGTTGCCGCTTTGTGTGGGTTCGACATGGTTTGGCAATGACTCTGCGACTCATAACTTTGCATGGTTGGGGTGTCGCGCTTTGGAGCACTGCATGTCATGCATTCCTGCATCATGATTGTGCAGCCTTGGGTTCAGGCCGCAGACGCTCAACCATGGGCTGTGATGGGTGACAGGGCTGAAACAGGCTGCACTTGGATTCCATGTGTTTCCGAGCAGAAATCGTCCTCTTCGAAGCTGGAAGGAAAGCAGCATATGTCGGGATACGTTTTATCGTGACTCGAGTCTTGCTCTGTACGTCTGGGTTGCTTGGTGTTGCCTGTGGTCGGGACACGTCCAGCCAGAACCCGTGCAATGCCACGTCAGTGCAAACTGCTTGGTGATTCGCATGACATTGACTTAGGCACCTTGAAAGGCTACGAGGCTGCTGCAACCCCAGTCATAACAGACCAGCTGTTTCAGTACAACCCGGGTCCTGTCGAAAGCAGTTACCAGAACACACGAGGCAGGAACTTCCCGCGAGGTGGTGGATGCCAGTAGCCAAGACGTCAGTATCGGGCCATGGTCATTGTTCTGTCCAGGAGGACTGGTGTTTGACTCTGGGATTTTGGAGCTCTACGAAATGTGCCATAGTCGGCCTGCGCCAGCCCAGCTTCTCTCGTTGAGACGTCTGCAGGCGATGATAGCTTCCTTTCCAGGCAGCCACTTGCTCACCGAGGCCGGTCTTCCCGACATCTGAAGAGCGTAATGATCGGAACTCCATCTAACACGGTTTCCTGTAGTGCAATATACTAGTATAGTATATAGTTATATAGTCATATAGTACAACATAACATGCTATAGTTTAGAAAGCTGCCTGGAAATGTGTAATTTGAGAGCAGGCCATGCCTTTGAGAGTGTTGCTCACTCAGGCACCGGCCTTCAGCCAGGCCCTGCGAAAAGCTGCGGAGGCCTGACCAAACCCAGTCCAGAGCACCAAACATATGGGAGTTTCAGAAAATGGGGGGGTACCTTACTTTGGGGTTCTTATAATAAGGATCCTACTACTTAGGGTACCATATTGGGGTCCCCTATTTTGGGAAAACCCCTATATGTCAGCTGCCCTCAGAGAGCAAGCGTCAGCGAGCAAGCGCCGCAGGAAATCGATCTGACGCGCTTCAACCAGGCAGTGAAGCCGGGACCCTGTCACGCCTGGGCAAAGCTTGAAAAATGATAGATACTGACTTATGGGATCCTGCAACACCCACAACAGAGGGGAGCCGCTTCATTGCAAGAGCGCCGGACAAAAACGATGGGTAAGACGTGTCTTAGGTCCATGCTGGGCTACTTCGGTGGCAGTGCCGCCGGTGGGGCAGCCAATGCGCCCAGACCTAAGCACCGAAGAGACTCGTAAGTAGGATGTTGCTTGGGCAATCCTCTGTCTGTTTCTTTTGCAAGATGAGATTGAAGTGGAATCTGCCAGTGCGCAGCGGCTTACCTGCCCATGTTATGAACAGGAGTGTGTAGTCCATGTAGTTAGACACCTTTCCGCCTACTCAGGCGTGGATCAGTGATTGTCTCGTGCCCCGCCACCGTCGCAGACCCTGTGTGGATCACGTATAATTATCGCAACTGCGTGGCAGGATGTCTTCCTCTATATTGTATCCCGACACTGCCGAGCCCGCACGTGCGCTGACATTCATGCTGGATTTGGTTTCCAGCAATACCCGGGAACTTCATCTGAGTGATCACAGTTATGACCCAGGTCACGGAGGAGTTAACGGGCCGCAAGGCAGCCGGCGTGCAATACAGGTTAATCGTGCAGAAAGCGACTGTACGTAGGCCAACTGCGCAGACTCTAAGCCGTCGGTTGCAGCAGTGCCCCTGATTCCGAGTTGCACCGTGTTGGTTGTCGGGAAGGTGCCGTTCACCGCACCGACGGTTGAAGAAGTTGCAGGGTTCTGAGATCCGGAAGAACATGAGGATGACATGGTAGTGCAGTGCTACAAGGACGAACAAGTGCTTTTGAAGTATGTTATTGCTTCTACTGTCGTTGCCATCTTCTTGCTTGTGTGATTTGCCGTGACGACGTATCTGCCGGCAGCATGTTCTCAGAACGACAAATATTGCCTCATTGGACCGGTGCTAAAAGAATCACTTATTTAATTCAATGGTAGCGCCGCGGTGGACACTGCACACAGAGGCGCACGACCACATTGCTTCAGCAGTTCCTTTCTGCAAGTCGATACCGTCAGCTCAGCCAGTCAAGGACTTATCGGTTGACCTGAAAACCGAAAGAAGTTAATCAACAATCGATGCAATGGACGACGTGTCCGATTGTGACGTCGATCAGCTCGCAGTTCGTTGCCTAACCCGGCTCCACGGTGCAAATTCTGAATTGGAGTCCGCCGCTAGCAGCCTTATCATGTTGAAGCTCATCGCAGAAAATACGGCCAGTTTTGTGAAGTGCACCAAGGAATCAGTTCTGCGCAACATCGATGAACTCGACGAAAGCGAGGCTGGGCAAAATGAGGGCACAGCTGCTTATGGATTGCGCTTGAGGTGCGAAGGCGAATACGGGCTGTTGCTGATCCCTGTTTGCATTGATGCAATAGCTGCAGCCGCGCTTAGTGGCATGCGACAGCCAGCACAACGTAGCACAACTATCCCGTGATGTTGTGCCTTTGACTTGAAGCATGTCGCAGCATGCCGGCTGTTTACTCTGGCAGGTAGCAGAGAGGCGGGTGTCAGCTCCTGCTCGGCACTTGACATGCTAAAAGTCTTGTGGTTTTCCAGCCGACATTGGGAACACACGGCTTCAGTGTCGTGTAGCCGAGTGGCGTTGCTCAGGCCTCCCTTTCTCCGGCTGCAAGTAGCTCAGTCCACGTTTGCGCTTCCTCATGGCAACATGCGATCGAGTCTGTCAGCCACTCCTGCACCCCAGCTGAGTTGTCGACTGCAATTGACTGTATCGAGTGTAAGGCAAGTCTTGCCTTTGCTCTGACCACTTTACTGTGCACAGTCGGCACTTGAGCTCCACGTCGCGACAACACCGGCCTGATGTAGATCAGGGCTGCTGATCGCTTGCTCGTGTCACTTCGTGTAGGATTAACACCAATCTTGTTGCCAGCAGTTGTGCGAGGTTGACATCAGTACTCCGCACTATCTTGACACGAGAGACATGTCATGAGGTTGGAGAGAAGCTTCCGGAGCCTCTGGAAGTCCTCCGGGCAGTGCGGTTCTCAAAGGGATCTGCATTGTACAGCCTTGAGATGTTGCTCTTCTTGTTGATCTTTGGTGGGTATGGTGGCGATGGCAACCATCGAGATCATCATCTTGCTGCTCAGGATTAATGTCGTGTTCACACTAGCGATCACCGTGAACAAGATAGTGATGATGCGTCGATTACTGATCCCAGCATGTGCCGTAATCATGATTTCTGGATTTAGCGAAAGCAGAGCTTGCACTTACCCAAGGCATCCAGCAAAGAGGCTACGACACTTCGTCTTGCAAATGGGCTTGTTGCTGGGCACCCGGCGCCTATTGTAGAAAGTTTCAGAAGGCTGGGTCGTAGGATCATGCGGCGAAAATCCAACCAGACCCCATGCTTCTGGAAGGTGGACAGGCAAAGGCCCCTCGTTTAATCACAAAGTCGTGTTGAAGAAGCGAATAAGGAAGCGGCTTTTCAGGTGTGTGCACTTCGAGGGATCTTTGGAATTGGTCGAGAGTTTCCAGTTTACTTGACGCAGTGCTTTGAATACATCATAATACATCTCACGGGCCGGAGAGCTTCTATATACACAGGCAGGAGAAGCAAGACGCATTTTTGGAGCTGGTAGTAGTCTGGATATGTCAGCAGGGTAGAGAGTTCATGAACGCTAGCATGCCGTGTAACACAGAGGATGTCACGGCTCCTAGCACATCCATATGTGCCGAATCTTCGTCCCGCGGCACACGTGCGCGAGCATACCAGCAGATCCACGGAGACATATTGCCGCTAACATGCAGGCGCACTTGGGCTGTATGCTGCCAAGGACGATGGTGCAACGTGTTTTACCCAACGCCCCACAGACAGCTGACATAATATAATACCACGCCAGCGTAGATCCCCAAACTATGATGGAGCACCACGACGACCATGGCGACCATGACGACCACGACCACCACGACTGACGACGGCAGCAACCAGGAGGCCAGCAAGACCTTTCAGGACGCCACGACGCGACCACCATGACATGGCCAAAATGCTGTGCCCTTAACTACTGGCTTGATTCAGGAGCACGGTCAAGATGCTTGGTTTCCAGAGGACGGGCAAGATGCAACCAAAGTTGTCGAGGCCAAAAGGTGGCCTATGTATGAATTGGAGTTTGCAATGAATCCGTCTCTCCAAACTGCTTTTCCCGAAATACTGGCGGGATTCTATGGATTGGAATTTTCCGAGGACTCGGGCTCTTCGGGGCGACGCGGTTTTACGGATCCGGCGTAAATAATAGGGTGTGGGCACAGAAAATACAGCGCATCACAGCGGCAGCCTCGTCACTGTGATTGGTTTTTTCGCGCCCGCCACGTTAATCACAACGCACGCAGGAAGACCATAGTGATGACGCAGTGTTTGCCAGTATAATAGGGCACTGCACAACATCATACTGTAGGTTATGTTTTACCAGATAACCGATGTTTTGTAATCGAAGGTACAATCCACTGATAAAGGTTTACAATGTATCAATATGTATCAGCGCACAACAGTGTTGTTGGTGGCGTTTTGTGGGTCCTCCCTGACAGCGTTGGACATGGTCACATGTACTACTGTCCCCTCGCCTTGGTAGTCTTTTGCTGAACCAGTATCGCTACAGACCCTGCTTGGCTTGCCCGAGTGTGAGTGTCAAAAACATGCATCCTGCTGCATGTTTCATATTTCATACTTGGTATGTTTATATATATATATATATATTGAATTTATGTATCTAATCGCAACCAGGTCAGGCTGCTGGTTATGCCCGCCAGCCCGAGCTCGGGACCAGCTCGTGGTGGGAGTGGGCCCCAGATGCATTTTCTATAATGTAAATCCTAATGACTTCGGATCCCCGCCGTCATCCCTATAAAGGGGAGATGGGTGTAACAATCATTGGGTTACATCATGAGAAAATTGGTTTTCCTATTGCTCAACATGCTAAGAATGTAATGAAGCAACACATCCGAGGAATGACCAGAATGCCAACAAGCAGAAGACAAGGTTTATTCCTGATACTACGAAATATATATGATATATTCGAGCGGGCCATACAGTACTCTAAGCAAGACCGTAATATGCCCACTATTTGTCGTATGAAACTGCACAGATATTTCGCGCACTTGGGTTGTGCAGTTGTGCAGACATGGCTGCGAATATGTGGCCTTTTGCGATGAAATCTGGGGGCGCGCCCAATGCCGACGGAGATTGCAGACCGTCCTGCTTGTCAGCTTGCTCGTGCATCGGACGGCACTCCGAGCATGTTCATGTAAGACGAAGACGGTCGGACAAACATCTGCGTACGAGATCACACGAGCACCAGCTGCACGATCCAAGTCTCCGCCTGACGGTGCCGGGCGGCCGCGCAGCTGATGAGGTTGCGGGACGTTGGGGACCCAGCATGGCCTGCAAGGAAGAAATGAGATTGCTGAGTTGCAGGGTTCGATCTAAGCAGCCTTGCTGTGAAACGACTGCGATCTCTGAGGTGTTCAATGCATCTCGTCGTTTGCATCACTTGCAGAAGATACTTTGCATGCCTCGCCCGAGGAATGGGAGCTTCGCGTGCAATGCTGCATGCTTTAGACAGTCCGGATCTCAAGAAGATATTCTTGAGCGTTTGTTGCTGCGACATGCCGTTTCTTACTCTGCAGACTGCGCTGTGGGCGAATGGAGCCAAGAAGAGGCAGCTATTTCGTTTGCGACTGAATATGGGTACAGGAAAAGTGCTGCCGAAGTGAGCCGTCAGGTTCAGCTCTTTCGTGCTTTGAACTCCGTGCAGACCGATTTCAAAGCTGGTACTGACGCTTTGGAGGAAGCATCGGGAGGGGCTGCAGCAAGGGGAACATGTCACCCAACCGTCCATGTGCCCCTACCCTACCCTTCAGATTGATGTTTGCAGACCACATGTCGTGCGCTCACCTATCCTCGCTCCCCTTTCGACACCTCTTTGGTTGCAGCTCGACGTCTTCTTCCCTCCGACGGCTGCGTCTTGCCGGGCAGCGACCGGTCCTTAGAAGAGTAATGCCAGGTCTACACTGTGCTTTCGGACATTTTCGGACATCGCAGGGAAGTGTTCAGAGCCCCTTGAGACTCTGAGGCTGGAGTGGCTGCACTGGGCACTGAAAGAGCCCCAGCCACGTTCTCAGGGACCCGTTGCATTAGCGTGAGAGCATGATATGCAGAGACTGCTGATGCTTAGTTGTAGTGTTTAGGTAAATTTCGGTATACACACATTGAAATAGGCAAAGAAAGAGACAAAACAACACATACATACAGTGTTTGCACACGTATGTATAGATATGCATTTGTTTCTGGAATATCCGCACACATACAACTACATATACATGCGTGCACATATCATAGCAGCAAAGGGTTCAATATACATGCAGTTTGTAGCAATAAGACGGCGGCGGAGTGTGCCACATGACGATGAAGAGAGCCTGTGGTGCGAGCACAACACAAGATGTCAAAATATGTCAGATTCATGCATTGGCATAGATTGCCTGAGCAACTTTGTGAGATTTTGTGAGTCGAAGCGTCTGGGCAGTATGGACGGAACATGCAACCATGCCAGCAGGTTCAATCTGCAAGGCTTCGCAGATGCACAGTTGCGGATGAAAGGTGGGCGGGCTTGTGGGAGTGCAGTAGCTGAAGCTGACGCAGACTTTCCTGCGAACAAGCCTAGGGATTCCGCGACCCTCAACCCAGTTGAGTTGTATACACAGATGCCAGGCGACACTACATTCCGGGAAAAGTCCTTGGAGGGCGCTTCGCGCCAGGCCTTTTCGTGGCAGACTGGATGCGGCGCTCACTACCACATGACCCGGAATAAGTGCGCACAGTTGGAACTACCTTGCTTCAATGACGTAGCGCACGTGACAAGGTCCAGGGAAACTGCTTTGACTAATTGTGCTGCGCTTTGTACTTGAGGTCATCGATGTTGCTGACACACTCTGCACTGCAGAGGCTCTCCTCGAGCGCATGTATCCTTCACATCGATGGTTCGGGGCCTTGGTGTGCATGCATTGAATTTCAGACTTTGTCTGCAGCAAGTCGCCGCATTTTGGTGATTTGCATCGAGGCTGGATGAGGCAGCGATGCTGCAGGTGAATCAGTTTGCGGCCCCAGATACTTGCAGAGTTTGCTGCAGGCGCAGTTTACGGCACTGTGGCCCTGGACACGGTGCATCAGCACAGGTTGACATTTCACTCGTCAAGCTTATCAGGCTGACCCTGGGCCTGATGAAGAAGGCCGCACAGGAACAGCTTGGCTCCGTCAAGGGCTGACTTTCATGTCTTGCTCACCCAGTACAGTATTCAAACATCTATGACTTGCGGAGTACTGTGGCGCATGCACTGAAGCTTCACGTTTCCCAGGTGGCTGGGCTGGAACTGGACCTGGTTGTGTGTATCCCTTCCCATGCAAGTCGGGGCTGCCCAGTGCGAAGTGGAGTCAAAAGTCCAGTTCAAGTAAACTGCTCCGTGACACGTCAGAAATGTTGCGGCTCGTGGTGCGTTTCGCATCAAAATCTTTGTCTCTCGATCGGCGAAGGGCGTCCAGTCTGCATCTTCACAGTCCGTAAGGTGCGGCAAGTGGCCTCATGCACGAGGAGTCTTTCGAAGAAGCCTCCGATGCGCCGGTCGAAGAAGAAGAGGCTCGACCCAGCCAAGCTCAAATCGATTTCGGCGTACTATTTTGACATGCTGGTTCGCGAAGATGTCCTTGTGCAGAGCGTGTCCCTCTTTAGATAGGCCTGGTTGCGAATAACCATTTTCGGAAGCGAGCTGCGGAAGATTTTCCAGGGACCTCTCGGTATACAAACTATGGAGGCTTCTCGAAGCCACGTGCTCTGGCATGTCGAGATGCGACTAGTTGCGCACTGCTGACGCTTGCCATGTGTTGGCCGAGCCGGAGGCCATTGCAGAGATGAGAAAGATGCTGGAGCGGGAGGCTGTGCGGCTCATTGTCGGAGCAGACTCGTGATGGTTGGTTGGGTGGTTCGAGCAGGTAATTTTCTTACATCATGTGTTAATCAAGCTACAAGTGGGACTCGCTCGTCTAAGGCACTATCTTGTTTCGCAGCAAAGCAAAGCAAGTGTCCTGTGAGAGGACTTGACATGGGAGCCACTGTGCAATTTCAGCGCGCATCAGTACGTCCTGAACACAAGCCGGCCATAAGCCACGTGCGCTTGTCTGTCTTTTTGCTGATGCAGGCTGTTGGCCGGGGCGTGCCGATAGGGGGCTGGATGCGTCCTCTTAACCCTACCCAGCACAGGGCCTGGGTGGCTTAATTGGCTACTTAGATGGGCTGTGGTTTGGCT